TGTTCTTGTCATCACTGGAGGAGGAAAAGGAACAATGTTGATGTCAGAATTTATTGTGTCATATCATGCCACTTCTATTGGAAATATGATAGTTGAGATAGAAATAATTTAATTTCTTTCTGTGAGAAAAAGTATTGGGCCATGGGAATAGGTGGTTGCGATTCCCTTTGGCAAGACACTTCATATCATGGAATTAGCACATTTTTCCTCATCACAATACTTCCCATCACCTTAAAGTCATGTATGGCAGCTTGATTAAGACCGTAGTTCCATTTCTCTACCCTGCCTTCTTCATTTGAAGAAGGAAACACCTTCAGCAGTGTATGAAAAGGGACCTGAACTCCATTTTTCCACCCTGCCAACAGAGTTCAGTTCTCTTCCCTGTGTGAAAGAGGAGGAGTTTGTCAGGATCTGGATTTCATTTCTCCATCCAGCAAATTAAAATTCAGTTCCCCTCAGCAGGTAGTTCTTTTAGTCAGCCTCCAGAAATGAGAGGGAGTCGTCTCAGAAGATGGCAGCAGTTCACAACCTGCCCTGCCAGTTTTCTCATTGACTTTCTGGAGAAGCTGTCAGAGAAAATTGCAAAATGGTAACCACATGATTGCAGGCCACTTGGTAACCACTTGTATGTGTGAACAAGTCAAGCATCCAGATCACAGTTGTGACTGTGGCGGATAGGGGTAACACAATGTTTTTCAACAGCCAGAAATGCTTTACAGGCCATAAGGCACCCTTTCTAAGGCCATCGTAACTTTGAATGGTTATTAAAAAAACTTATTGTAAGTTGAGGACTATCCATAAAACACTCCCTTTGGGATTTTCTGTGCTAGTTATCTGCAATATCGTTTCCAGTGGCTCTGGAAATTTCTATGGCTTTTGATATATACTGTAGCTGGAGATATGCAGATCATAAAATCATAGAGTCACCCATCATAGAAGGGACTTTGCAGGTCTTCTATTCAAACCCCCTGCTCAAGGCAGGTGTCCTTATACCATCTTGGACAATGTTTCTTTGAAAACCTCCAATGATGCAGCACCTATATAATCTAATACCTAGATAATGTAGAGATATGCAGATAATGTGGATTAAGGTATTAAGTTCTATACCCTTTAATTTCTTGTTTTCTGTTCATGTCTTTCTCCCTAAATGTGCCTGGTTTTTGTCTTTTTATTTTTTTTTTATTTTTGGCCCCATGTTTCTAGTTGCCCCTTTTATGTTTGCTGCTATTTAATAAATATACATCGAATTGTATTTTTATCAGGTATGCCTCCTCTGATCTGGATAATGGGATTGACTGGAAGCATGCTGAGTGCAAACTAAACTGGAAATTACAATAATTTCCCAACAAGACCAAGCTAATATTTTGGAATGTTGGATAGACTGAATGGAATAGCCTTCTTTTCTCCTGCAGGCTATAAGCTGGAGAAAAGGTATTAGAGCAAAGCTCTAATATCTTTTCACCAGCTTACAGCCTGCAGGAGGAAAGAAGGCTATTCCATTCAGTTAGAGCAGGTTAGAGCAGGATTGCCTTTAGTTTTGCTACTTACACTAGAACTCCATAAAGCTGTGAAAAGCAAAATAAAGACTGTGGGGGAGCCTAATCATATGCAATATGTCTTTTTGGCTTTGAGGATGGTGAGGCAAATATGCGCTGCTCACAGGTTAAATGGAGAAACTAAGCTCTTTAATATTGAGATGTTTCTTGTCCGTCATTTTTTCAACTGTCAGGGACAACACCCAGTGTAAACAAAAGTGGTATGTGCATTGGAGACTACCAACAAGAAGTGTGATCTTCAAATGCATTCCTGATCAAGTTGACCCAACTGACATCTGTACCCAATGTATTAGCGTAAAAAAGAGTGATCATCCTAATGAATTTCATATAACACTCTGAGCTGTGAATACTTGATTTAACTGTCATAGATAGCATCTTTGCTATCCACAGCACAATTGATCTTAACTAGGTCACTAGTGTCTAGGCTATAGTAAGGTAAAGGTTCCCCTCGCACATATGTGCTAGTCGTTCCTGACTCTGGGGGCGGGGGTGCTCATCTCCGTTTCAAAGCCGAAGAGCCAGGGCTGTCTGAAGACATCTACATGTCATGTGGCTGGCATGACTAAATGCCAAAGGCGCACAGAATGCTGTTACCTTCCCACCAAAGTTGGTCCCTATTTTTCTACTTGCATTTTTTACGTGCTTTTGAACTGCTAGGTTGGCAGAAGCTGGGACAAGTAACAGGAGCTCACCCTGTTACGTGGCACTAGGGATTCGAACTGCTGAACTGCCGACCTTTCGATTGACAAGCTCAGCATCTTAGCCACTGAACCACCACGTCCCCATAGGCTACAGTATCTATACACAGAAAAGCAATGTTACAGTGGTTTCACTTGCTTGCTTGACAATTCATGTAACCTGGGCTGCATATAATAAAGCAGAAACAGAAAAGAAAATATAACACAATATAACAGCTAATGTCAGCCCTGGAGGCCTTTTTTCTTTTGGATCTTCAGGGCTGCCACATTTAGTCTATGGGAAACTGGGAGGGGTGTTTGCATGTAGTTGGTAGAAGTAGTTAGCCATAACAACATTCTTTTCTCTGGGACTCAAGGGCATTCAACCTGCACCTGGAGAGGCATGACTGGGGGAACATCTCCAGTTGGGACGGTGGATTGATTGGACCATGTGATGGACATGTGGATGCAGAGGAAGGGACTTTGACTTTCCTTTGGGTGGGGAAAACCCAGGAGTTTTCAGATTCAGGTTTTCCCAGATGTCCCAATATGACATCGCTAATAAAATGGAACTTTGAGGAACTGCTGGCCTTGGAGTCTTCATTGATTGGGGGTGTTACTTGGAACCCTGACAGCTAATTGAGTTTCCCCCTCTCCAAAGTATAGCAAAACATAATTGCCTTCACCTATTAATGGAATACCAAAAGGGAGGGTATAACGAGGTGGGCCTCATTTAACTTGTTCAATGACTGTTCAAACTTATGACAGTGCTGAATGAATAGTATTCACAATTGATGTTCAAAGTTCTAACTGTTGAGTGTGCTCCCCCCCCCAGTCAACTGGCCTAGATTTCCAATCATTCATGGTCAGGTGATCACAATTTGCGACCTTCCCTGCCAGCTTCTTACAAGGAAAGAAAATGGGGAAGCCAGCAGTAAGTCATGAATCACAGTGATGTGAGGTTCTCACTTAATGACCTGTGGTAATTCAATTAGCAATGGTTACCAACAGCTTCCAGTTCATGCAAATCAATTTTCTGAGATGAGACGTTCAGCCTTTGACAGGGCATGGTAAGCAGCTTGTTTAGAACGGCAATGGGACATCGGCATAATTCTGTCTGTAGCACTTGGGATTGCAAATTTAGAAGCAACAGGAACTAAGATCTCCCTCTTAAACCCCTACCTGAGCAGGAGAAGACACTAGCAAACACAACTCTCTGAAATTTGCACAGAATATAGAGGAGGAAAGGGACTTCTTTAACTGTCACCCTTGAAAACAGTGCAAAGGAGGTAAAGTTGCCACTCATTCTTCCAGTTGCAGACGTCTGTTTACACCTGCTTTCAAGAAATAATGCCCAAATGTCCTTTAGTGTACCCAATCTAGACTGGAATGTCATTTTATTTATTTCTTTTAATTGCTTTCTGCAATGCCTGCTTTAAATTGTATAGTTATACTGTTCCAAGGACAGCTGCCTTGGTTTTGATCAATGCCTGAGGCTGAAGATATGGCTGAGTGAAAAGGAACATCAAGCCTGTCTCTCATAATAAATAGTTCAGCTTGTGCAGTATCTGAAACAAAGGGGAATAACAAGGTGACAATGTCTGCTAGGTTTCTCTTTCCAATATTTTCAGCTGATCACAGAAAATGGGTTAGACTGTGTGTGCTTTAAGCCTGTGCTTCTAATCTTCTGAATTCTCCGGGGCTTTTATCAAAAGATAAAACAGTGTCCAATAGGACTATTGTGGCATGTTGGATTCTAGGCTCCCCAGAAACATCCTTGGATTACACAGTAAGGCAAGATGGAGAAATTTGTAAGCCAAATATAAGAATTAATTTCACAAAAGGACTGCCTCCATGCTCATCTTGGGAGGTATTAGTCAGAATATGTAAAAGATACGTTTGAAATTTCCTTATAACTAAATGTATGTTTTCTTTTCTGAGGATATTTTTCATTTTTAGTATTAGCACAGGTTTCTGAGTGAGGTCTTACACGAAACATATAGGGAAAATCTACTCTCTGTAAACAGGCTAAGCCAGAGCTTACATTGATTCTTCAACCATAGACTGCCATTATAAAGATAGATTGTTCACTGTTACCCACAAGAACTTGTAACCTTACCTAGAATGATGAAAGCACCCAGCATTGTGACATAATGTCACAAGCTTTGCTCCTTTCATGATATCAATGTACATAAGAAGGGACAGGGCTTGAGTTATGACATTGTGATGCTGCTTCTGTCAGTCCACCTTCCTTGATGTTCCACTTCCTCCCAAACCAAAGAATTTAAAAATGTTACAAATGTTGTGAAAAATGCACATGACATCTTTCCCAACTATTTTATCTAGTAGCTATTGTAATTGGTTACAAACCCATATTTGATGCTGATTGTGCACTATCAGACATGAATGATTGCCATTCACTAGAAGGAACACAGAAATCAGTGGTCTTCAGAATTCCATTTGGGTAACACCATGCTTTTTGTACTGGTCTTATTTGGTCACAATAGAATCTATGGCCTCCCTTTCTTTCTTCCTATGAATACCAAGGAAATGTTAAATAATCTAATCTCTCAAAACACAGAAAAGACAATTGAAGCCCTAATGCTCCATCAGAAAAACAAATCCCAGTTTATAGTTGAGTATGGTATTAGCCTGATAAGGAAGGCCAAGTTCAGTTCTATCTTCAACCACAATAATTTACAAATTGAGTTTTGGCTCATTCCCACCCCAGACATGAGTTGTTAAGGAGATCAAATGAAGACAGATCTATAAATTTTTATGTATTTATTTTAAACAATTTATATCACCATCTATCTCGTAACAGTGATTCTGGGCAGCATGATCCTTGTGTAAGCTGTCTTGAACTCCTAGAAGAAAATGGGATATAAATAATTGAGCGAATAAATAAATAATGTCAAATAAGAGTGGGTTAGCTTTCAATTTTTCTAGGATTCTTTATCAGGCACAATGTGAAAAGTAGGAGACACAGAGAAGAAGCAAAAGAAAAAAATCATTATATCCATGTTATATACATATATACTGCTCAGAAAGTGTCAAGTTTATATTTATAAACTGACTACAGAAAAGGAGAATATAGTAAGCTACAGAGCAGACAATTGGACAGCAATATCTGAGAAGATTTTTTAAGCAGATTTTAGAGAATTCTATTAGTAAGCACCTTGAAAACATTGCATTAGTTAGAAGAAATCAATCGTGACTTATCAAGCACAAAACTTGCCAGGCTAATCTTATCTCATTTTATGGATCAGATAAGTTCACAATAGCTTGTAAGAATGTAATACAGTTGATTCTCTCCCCCTTGCTCCAATTTCATAGTAATTAATTTGTCTTTGGCAAAGTATTTCAGAATGTATCCCACAACATTCTGATTAATAGCTTGGTTATCTATGTGCAGGATAATGTGCAGCTCTGTATACAGAGCTGGCTGAAAAATTATATGGAAAAAGCATTTATTGATGATTGGCTATTAGACAGTCGGAAGTATCAAGTGTCATATCACAGGTTCAGTTTGGGGTGAGGCAGCCATACTGGTGTGCATAACCAAGTTCATAGGTCCAGAAGGGAGATCTTTCTTGAAAATATACCTAGTCAAGTTTTGAGTTTGACATTAGCTATGAGACCAGCGCCTGGGGTCTCATAATGGATGCCATCAAGTAAATACACCTTCTGAGATAATGAAAAGTATGTAACCCTTTGGCTGAAGTTTTGTTCCAGGAAGCTGATGGGTTTATTGCTACTGTACCAGCATCTTGCCTGAACTCCTAGATTCCATCACCAGGTTATCAGTGTCTCTGAGATCTATGGACTTTAACTTGCTGCCCAGTGACATATAGTTCATGAGTTCCATGGTCACCATGGCCACCATGACTCTGACCCAAGTCATCAAGTATTTACAAACACCAAGCTAGATTTGTTTGTTTTATCACGGTTCATTGAAACATGAACTAGGATTTGAATCACCATCAATGAGTCCCCTTATCAGTAAGATGGGTGGCATATACATTTAATAAATACATAAATAGATCCTTTGCCATAGTCAGAACACAGAAGCATAGAATTTAATGATTACCTGGAGCAAGTTGAACCCCTTGCCCCCCCCCACCCCCAGAAGCCTTTACTGAATTCAATATTCCTTGACAGTTTTTGTCTAGTGTCCAGCCTTGACAAAGATTGTTGAGAAGGTGATTGGGCTATAGCTTTAAATCCCCTCAAGGGTTTTCAAGGGCTACATCCCTTTTAGTCACGTTTCACATTGGGACATAATACTGAGACAAGCATTTGTTGTGCTTGATTGTGAAACCAAGATGGTGATAGTGCAAGATGGTGGTAGCTAGTTACCATCTATTGTTCTGGACCACCTATGAAAATGCTAATACAGTAGAACCTCTGGTCATGAATGCTTCTGACCATGACCAAATTGGGTTCCGGCCAATTTCCCCTTCCATGACATTTTTCTTGTAAATGCCAAATTTCCAAAATTAGGTTCGGGTCCAGACCAAATTGGGTTGCGACCAAAGTTATGGAATGAATTATAGTCATGACCAGAGGTTCTACTGTACTCAGTTATACATCTCAACCTCAGATTGACCATGCTGACTTTGCCATTGGACCATGAATGATCTTCACCCATCAAATATTTCTCATGAGCTTCTGTCAGAATATCAGAGGGTCTTTCTTCACACCCAGATTCCCTATATGTACAAGCTTATATATTTTTTCATCAGCTGGAAGAATATCAATGTTGCTAGCTCAGATAGGAGTCTCATTTAATAGTTGGCTGGACTAAAACCAGAGACACTAATCTCATCTCTGGCAGCTCACCAATTGTCTCTGGGCGTGCCACTACTTCTAAATTCAGCTTCTCTGTTGATATACAAAAGTCAAATATGGAGAGATATGGATGGATGGAGTGGAGTAGGGTGCCTATTATACACAATCCTTTTGGGGAAACTGTCACTTTTGGGGCCACTGTCACTTGCCCATAAAAGGAAATCTCAACTAGTAGCCTCAATAGGATTTACATAATCAATTAAAACATAATTGGGTTCAATCTCTTGTTATTTATAAATGATAACCTGGGAAAAATCTGGACTCAATATTTCAAGATACATTTCTGACATTAGTTGTTGCTTGATCAAGGCACATCTGAGTTAAAATACTTTCATTGTTAGGCAGTCAGATAAGGCTACAAGGCCACTGTGAATGGAAGAAAAGGAAGAGGATTTCATGGTTGTGATCAAAAACACATTGGCTCAAGATCACATAGGGAAATAGCTTCAAAAGTTACTTTCAAGCACTTGGTGTTATTTTCTCTTAAAAGGAAATACATCTTACAGCTGCTTTTGCCAGGACATATGGCTTATGGAAACTTTGACAAGCAAACAAACAAACAAAAAGATTTAGAATAGCCCTAGGGAGGTTACAAACTTGCTGCTTTCTAAGGAAGTTAGCATCACTGTTTTCAACTGGTAAGAGCGATAGTTATTTTTTTAAACTTCTAATAGAATGTCACCCTGTATCAAAGTATAAAGCGTTATAGCCTGCATGTAATTTGATTGTCTTGGCCCATGAGATAAACTGTGTTGTTAGGAACAATAATCTAGATCCTTTAAAAGGGCAAGAGAGGCATGCTGTGTTCCATCTACAAGTCATACTGCAAATAATGGCTTTGTGTTAGTTTCTCCAGTAGCATCCAGACAAGGGTCAAGCTTGTTTCATAATGGGAGAGAAGGCCACAACTACATGGTATAATTGTAATGAAGATGTTACATTTATCATCTTTATTATGAAAGATATTTCGTTAGTTAAAAAATGCCTAAAAGGTCAACTTAATATTCACTTGGTTTAGAAGAAAGTTAGAATTAGAATCATACAGATGAAAAACTGGAAATGGGAGACATCCAGATCCATGGGGTGCCATGGGGTTGCAAAGAGTTGAACATGACGTAGCAAATAGGGCCTGGTGGCTCAGCAGACTGATAGCATTGTGATTAACACCAGCTGTCTGCAATTACTGTAAGTTCGAATCTCACCAGGCTCAAGGTTGACTCAGCCTTCCATCCTTTCTAAGGTAGGTAAATTGAGGACCCAGTTTGTGGGGGCAATAAGCTGACTTTGTATAAATATACAAAAGTATGAAGGCTATTGCTTAACGCATTGTAAGCCGCCCTGAGTCTCCGGAGAAGGGCGGCATATAAATCAAATTTTAAAAAAAAAATTGAACAAAGACGGGGAAGCCATCTTCCCAAAGTAGTGCTTTCCATTAGTGAAGGAAATTCTACCTGATGTCTAGTCAAAATAAGTTTCCTTGTAACATAAATCTACTGTTTCTTGGCTTGTCATACCAAACACCAAACTATTGAATGCCCCCCAACCTGCAGTTTATGTACATGCTATATAGGAGGGAAGAAATCATTATGCCCTGTGGCAACCTACAAAGGAGGAGCTGAGAGAGGGAAAGAGACCTCTCCCTCCCAAATAAAACCGATGCACAGTTCCTAGAGAAAGAAGAATCACCATAATCCTAACCCCTAGAGCCAGCACAGAATGATACAGCACTGTAGTAGTTTTGGAACCACTGAGACATCATGGAGCAAAGGATAAATGTAGCATCTCCATCCTGGCTATGCCACATATCATCTTCAAGAGCAACCAATGCTTTCTCTGTACTAAATCCTGGCCTGGAAGTCAACTAAAATGGGTCTAGATAATCTACTTTCTCCAAGGTTCTCATCAACTCATTAAGCATTTTCTCAACAATCTTCCCTAAAAAGAGAAGGTTAGAAAGAGGATAATAGTTATCAAAAATGGTTGGGTCCAAGAATGGAGTCCTCAAAAGGAGGAGCACCATCACCTCATTTAAGGCAGGAGGTATCATCCCTCCCTCAAAGATGCTAATGCATGGACCCAACCACAGATCACCTCCTAGCTCTTTCATGAATCAGGTGGGTGCTGGATCCAATCAATAGGTGACAGCACAAAGTACAATGTCCTGTTCTTATTGCCATGAGGTATTCCCTAATTTGAACTTTTACCCATGTTCAGTAAAACTTGCTCCAAATCTTCCTCCAACAAACTTTCAGGTATCACCTCTGGTGCTACATCTCCTAGAGTTCCTTGTTAAACTGAAGAATACTCTGGGATAAATGCACAGGGAGAACCCACATGGAGTAACACAATCTAAGGCCTTGGCCAGTTGCCCATTCCTGATGGTGATTAAGGTCTCAGCTAACCATATCCTTGCAGGAAATCCCAAGTTCTTTCTAGAACCCCCTTGGTTCCATAAATTGTCTAGAATGAGCTAATAAACAGATCCTATCACACTGCAGAGAGGTTGACACCAGGGAGTTGGAAGGCAATTAGAGAGCAATTTGTCCATGGCAGTATACCAGTAACCAACTGTTCCCTTAAGCACAACTTCAACCAGAGTTCCCCTCATCTGGTTATTTGTGGAGTGGAGCATCTCAAACCCTATAATGGTTCACAGATTATGACAGCCATTCCTTCCCCTCCCCTTGGGTCTCACTGGTGTACATTGAATAATTAGGAGTTTTCCATGCAAATGTATTAAGTCATTGAAATATGGTTGTTCCTGCTCACCATTTCTGGGCAGATGGTTAATCTGTATGTTCTGTTCTCAAGAAACTTGCACTTGATTTAACTTTATATCTCTATTTGTTTTGGCTAATCCCTGTATTGTTTGAAAATTGTTTGATATCAAATATTGGGATATCATCCTCTGCCATAAATAAATAGGGCATTAAGACCCTTAAGAGCTCCATATCAATCTGAGCATGTATTCTTTTCATGCATAAATTACTGATACTGTGCCAAAAACTAGTTTTCCAATTAGAAAACACAAGGCCTGCATTTGAACTTGCCTTCGTTAAAACCTTTAATCATATCTGAAAATATGTCAGCATCTAAGATTAGCAATGAATGTTTAAAAGCTACTAGAGATAGTGGCTAAAAATATGGGTTTAATCACAGCATAGACATATTTAAAGTCTATTCAAAGTAACAAAGATTTTTAAAGCTCTATACCCAAGTCAATAGAACACAATTGCTGTGTTTATTTAAACTACTAAAATCAAACAACTAAACTGTAATATGTTTTAATATAATGAGCTGGTTCACACAACATTGTAAGTCAATAGCTAGATTTCTAAAACACTCAGAAACAACATATTGTCCAATTTTATTTTAAACTATTCTTCTCTCATTTGTGATTTTGATGGATTTATGAATATAACTAAATCTCTCTGGTTCCAATCTAATATATTTTATTTATTTCTATTGTATATACTGATATAAGGGAATATTTATAGCTTAAGGGTGAACTGTGGGTTCCTTGGTGGTCTCTGAGCTTAGTTGTTTTCTTGTAGATGTTTCATTATCAAACTAGATAACATCATCAATCCTAGCACTAATGATATTACCTAGTTTGGCAATGAAATGTCTACAACCAAGCTCAGACACTATCAAGGATTCTACAAGTATGTTCTTAATGATGATTATGCAGCTTTTTGAGAATTAGTCACTAGATTATTTCTTCCCAGCTCCTTATAAATTAGGTCCATGTATCAACAAAAATCATGAGATATCCAGCATGAGTTTGATGCTGGCCATAAACCCCAGTTAGTTTGTGTTCTTCTTGAAGTTCAATTTTTAAAAAATAGTTCAGGATTTTAAATGAAATTCTAGGGAGAAATCAGAAAATATTTTAGCTGATGATACTGAAATACAGGAGTAAGATATACATAAAGAACAATTATTGGGACTGACAAATGAATGT